ACTGAGCCACACCAGCTGGGTCTCATACTATCTCAAAGACCCTGTCTGTGTGGATTTAACTAACTTTCCCTGATGACGTAAATCATCCACCCAGGCCAGAGCATCTTTGTTGTGAGTGCAGCACATTCATCTAGGTAGCTCAGGTATTTGCAACCTGATATTGGCAACCGACTCCTCTCAGTTTGGACTTGATTGATGCAAAAGATCTTCCTACTTTGCTTTCTCCCTCCCAGGTATTTTATACTTTTCCCAGAATTGTCAAGTATACATTTTAAAATGTCACTACATAGAGGAGGAAAAAAATGGTAAATGTCAATATCAGGACAGGCAGTAGGGACATTTGGGTACCTTCATATCCTCGCTTCCCGTTAGTCAGAAGTTGCTACAGTTTTGGTTCCTCATTTATTTTTTTATTCAACCTTCTAGATGGACCTGACTCTGTCAGAATGCGTGAGTGAGTGAGCCCTGCCCGATGGGGCTGAGGGGGGTGGCTTCTCCATCAGCCATGACTCGCTTAGGATTCGTCACGTGCACCAGGAGACAATTAGATGTGAAGGCCTCTGGAGCATCCGTCAGCCTCTTGGGAATTCTGTGATCTTTCGGCTGCTGTAAGCCTTGACCTCTCTCTCCTTAGAGGCCAAAGGAACAGGGTCAGGCCGGGGCTGCAGAAAACCACATGGGAAGCCCTGGCCCCTCACTCCCCATCCATGTGGGTCCCACGCCCTCACTCACAAAACCCAGTGTGTCCACAGAGCTGTCGGTAACAGAACAAAACGGCAAGAGGACCGCGGGTTTTCCACTGCTCCTGCTCAGTGCCCTGTGTGCCCCGGGCAGGCAGCACGGGGTAGCTGTGGTCAGGATGTTCTTCCCCCTTTCTTCTCTGCTTTAAGAGACACAACTACCTCCACTTTCCAGGCTGACTGGTTTATTTTATTTTTTTCCATAGAAAACATTTCACTTGGTTTTATAGCTTCCCTGTGTAAATCTAGGCAACTCTCCGAAGAGCCCTCCATCTGGGGGTGATGTCCCAGATCCATGAGGGCAGGGGCCCTGGGGAGAGGGTCCTGAGGCCTCTGCCTCCTGAGGACCAGGGCTGGGAGTTTGCCATGGGGGGCAAAGGGGCGGGGCTGCTCCAGGCCCGGGCAGTGGTTATTTCCGGTTTTTAGCAGTTGGCCGAATCTGAGCCTTATCTTCCTGGCCTTCAGCCTTGTGTGCCAGGCACCAACCGACAGGACCCACTCGCCTAAGGGGAGCCCCTTAAGTGCAACATGTCTGAAGCAGCTGACCTTGCTCACAGCTCTTCGCACTGCTGCCCAAATACTAGCATTTGGGGTGTACAGAATGGGAGAGTCGACCTCCGAGCCCTTCCAGGGCCCGTGATCAGCACTGAGGGTAACAGAGCCAAGGAATGGAGACATCCCTCAAACAACTTTCAGATTCTTCTAATACACGCCCACTGTAGAAATTGTTTAAAACTGATGTTTGCAAGCGCGATAAAGGATGAATGTAATAACTACACGAATCCCGCTACTAAAATATAATCACGGTTAATTACTAATTATTAACACTTTGGCTTATTTCTTTCCAGTCTCTTTCTCTAGACACATAATTACTTTAACAAGGTGGAAGTCATACTGAATATTCAGAATTTATTTTATTTTATTAGATGTATTAGGGCAACATTGATTAATAAGATTATATGAGCTTTGAGTGTACAATTCTGTGGTACATCATCTGTTTATTGCGTCATGTGCTCACCACCCAAAGCCTAGTCTCCTGCTATAACCATATATTTGACTCCCTTCTTACCCTCTTCAACCTCCCCCCAGCCCTCTTTGCCTCTGGGAGCACCACACTGTTGTCCGTGCTCATGCATTTGTTGGTCTGTTGCTTTCTGTTTTTATTCCACGTGTGAGTGAAATCACATGGTGCTTGTCCTTTTCTGTCAGACTTATTTTGCTTAGCATGATACTCACAGGATCCATCCTATTGTTCAGATGGCAGGATTTCAAATATGAGTAAGGGATCAAAAGAAGTTTCCATTCAAATCCTAATCCATTCATCAGTATTGACAAATTTTACTGAAACTTTCAAACTAAGTCCAGTACCTTGCCCGTGTTACTTGGCAAAGCAGTGACATCTGTCCAGTTGCGTTCGATTCTAACCACAGACGGTGAGGACAGAGTGCTGCTCCTGGGGTCCTCCCCCTCAGCCTGTGCAGAGCCGGCTTCACCCAGTGAGTCAAGTGGATCCCAAAGGAGGCTCCCAGTCAGTGAAATCCAGAACTCGGACACAAGCCTGTGTTCTGCCTCCATTAGCTTCTCCAGGCTGCTGCTCTTTTTCCCGTAATTAATGCCCATTGCAAGAGATGGGTTCTCACTCACTGTGGAATCCCTTAAGTGGATTAGACTTTGAATAGGCAGGTGACATTGTGGGTACTTGACTGGTCTTATTAAACTTCAGACTTGGCCAGGTGTGCCTTCTTTTTGTTGACTTTTGAGGAATATATTTAAATGATGATTCAAGAGTGGCCTGTGACACAGGACTGTAAGGCAGCAGCCTATAAAGATGGTTAAGAAAATAATTTTTCGGCAAGAAGAAAAATTTCCTAACCCACTCCTACTTCCTGTCATTCAAATTCTTCAAAGGGTGTTGATGGGGTTTTTGATTTGTAATGTCAATGTGATATTCCTAGCAGTGGATAAAGATGATCATTTCTGGGGAGAAACTAAGATGGCGGCAGAGATAAACACCGGGAAGTTAATGCCGCTCACAACAATTGATTAATACCTCAGAGAAACAACACTTCACCCAGTGAGTCAAGTGGATCCCAAAGGAGGCTCCCAGTCAGTGAAATCCAGAACTCGGACACAAGCCTGTGTTCTGCCTCCATTAGCTTCTCCAGGCTGCTGCTCTTTTTCCCGTAATTAATGCCCATTGCAAGAGATGGGTTCTCACTCACTGTGGAATCCCTTAAGTGGATTAGACTTTGAATAGGCAGGTGACATTGTGGGTACTTGACTGGTCTTATTAAACTTCAGACTTGGCCAGGTGTGCCTTCTTTTTGTTGACTTTTGAGGAATATATTTAAATGATGATTCAAGAGTGGCCTGTGACACAGGACTGTAAGGCAGCAGCCTATAAAGATGGTTAAGAAAATAATTTTTCGGCAAGAAGAAAAATTTCCTAACCCACTCCTACTTCCTGTCATTCAAATTCTTCAAAGGGTGTTGATGGGGTTTTTGATTTGTAATGTCAATGTGATATTCCTAGCAGTGGATAAAGATGATCATTTCTGTTTGCTTTCTTTAAAAAAAAAAAAAAGTGGTAAGAAAAAGTAAAGAAAGCCCAGTAGTGGTACTTTAAAATTGGGGCCTAGGTTAAATATTTCTTATTTTCTTTAATGTGACAAAACCATCTTAAGAAAACACCCAGCTAAGACATAGTGGCAATAATTCGTATAAATTAGGCTATTACCTGAGCTACCAAGGCCGTTAAAAACAATTACTTAGTACTCTGAAAGCCTTCTGAGATAAATCTTAAGATGTAGGAATTGCTTATGCAATGCTACAAAAAATGCCAGGCTCTATGTTGGATTACTATCTGGTCAGTTTTATTGTAATTACTCAGTGATTCTATAAGACTAAGCCTCAAAAAAATAATGAGCAGTTAATGACCTACACAATAATCAAATCTGAATCGGGCCAGGTCAGTTGAGTTTCTTGAGAGGAGAGAGAAGAGGAAACCTAATGGGAACTGTGGGGCAGGTGTAATTCCGGTTGGAAACAGGACTAAATCGCATGGCAGTCCTGCTCTCTGAAGAACTAGGTATAAGTCTGTCATTAAAAAATGGGTGTTATGTTATTGATTAAAAAGTAGTAGAGTATTAGCTTCCAGTATTTTAATTTTAAAGAGCATCATTGGGTACAACTGTTACAACTTGAGTGAAAGAAGACAAATCATGTTCCTTCAGTGAGACGTTCCTTAAATTCATCTTAGATTAATTTTGACTGGAAGGTTTTCAGGGAATTGTGCTGAGCCTAAAAATTCCCCCCAAACTTAGCATCTGTTCTGTATTCACAAATGGAAATAACTACATGTCAAATGCAAGAAGATTCTATTTCCTTTTAGACCAGTGATTCTCAACCTTCTGGCCCTTTATTTTATTTTTTTTAAAAAATTGTTTTATTGCTTAAAGTATTACAAAGAGTATTACATATATCTCCTTTTTTTTTCTCACCTTGACATTCTCCCGGCCTCCCCTACCTCCCCCCTCCCTCCCCCAGTGTCCTGTGTCCATTGGTTATGCTTATATGCATGCCTACAAGTTCTTCGGTTGATCTCTTACCACCCCCCATCCCCCAACCCTGCCCGGCCTTCCCCTGT